ATATTTTTTTCTAGTTCATCTACCTGCCAACCTTCCTCCCCAATCCCTTGCCAATCCTTGCTGTAATACAGCAAGACTGACTACATCAAATGCCTTCCTCTGGAAGTCTTGACAGACCACTCGGAAACGGTTCCTGTCTTGAGATGCTATTTTATCACAAACTACCACTGCTTACTGTTTATAATTCCCCCACACATATTTCATTTAATTCCCATGACCTTCGGAACAGGTATGCTCATTATTAAGCCAACTGTGTACAGATGTAAGTGGGTGGTCCATAGCTGTACAGCACCAAGCAGGAGATAGCGACCCTAGTCCTCTGGTGGTATTTAGAGGAAGGACACATGAACTTCCAGCTCTGAGAAGAGCTATTTATCCAATTCATTTATTTCTCCCTCATGTAGCTAGCAAACATCTACAATTCATTTTACTGTACGCCAGATACTGCTTGAGGTGGTGAGGAGAATGCCAAGGGCACAGACTCCAGAGAGAATGTCCTCATCCCATACCTGCATATATGACCAGAAACAGCCTTCTTTTACACTAATGCTTATAAAGTCCACACTAAGCTGATAAGAAAGTCAGCTCGCCCAAATATAAAAGGAGTTCTTTATGAGACTAAAGTAGTTCTTAAATACTTTGTATTAAATAAACCAGGGACTTTTTCTGAATTCAAATGTCCTTGGAGTTGTACTTAAGACTTTAGTTACGTTAGCTGAAGTAAACAATGTTGTAGCCTCATTGACTATAATATATCCAATTTGAAACTAGGATAAACTGAGGATAAGGGTGACCTAATCTACATGAAACCCAGGGAAAGAAAATCAAAGGCAGAATGGGACTGCAATCCAGAGTCAAGGGAAATAAACAACAGAAGTCCTTTTCACCAAAGGACTTTCTAGAACGTAGTATGGGGCAAGGAGTACAATGCAGAAATGATGGTCTTACCGAACTGATGAAATCGAGATCAGAGCGCACAGAGGCTGGGGTGGCTGGAATGTGAGAAGATGAATACTGGAGGGAGAATGAAGCCCAGAAGTCTGCAGGGGGTCCATTTGAGTCTAAGGCTGAATGCTAAACTGGGAGTGCACTGAGTGAGACACCATGAGACTGGGGGAAAATATCAGATTATTTGTCTGCTGAGTAATTTCTAGAACTCATACAGGGTGAGAGGCCTTTGGTTCTGACCAGGCAGAGTGGAAAGACCTTATTGGGGTGCTGCAGGTATTCATTACAAACTCCCAAAGGATCTCAACTTATCAATAAAAATAAACCAGTCCAAACGAAGCTTGAAAGTTAAGTCTCACGAGTCAAGCTGAATCTCAAATGACTTAACTGTCAATCAGAAAAAAAGTCCACATGTTCAACAATGTAGTGGTCACAATGTCCAGCATCCTTTCAAAAATGAACTGAAACAGAATAATTATAGCCAGCAAAAATCAGTCAACAGACATAGATCCAGAAATGACAGATGTGCTGAGATGAACAGACAATGACTTTAACACAGGCAGGGGACGGTTTAAGCCCAACCATATCAATAACACATTAAATGCTGAACACAACCAAAATAAAACGTGTACATGCGCACACGCACATGCGTGCACACACACACAGGACACAGGGGAGTACATATTGTATTGTTCCGAAATTCTAGAACAGGCAAAATTAATTTCAAAAAAAGATCAATAGTTGCCTGGAGCAAAAGGTGTTACCACAAAAAGGTTTGAGAAATCTTTTTTAGAGTATGAAATATTTTGCATTTTGATTAGGGTGGTAGTTATAAGAGCATGTACTTAAATGGATGCATCTTAATGTATGTAAATTATACTTCAGTAAACTCATTTCAAATGTAAATATCTCTAGCTACAAAACAGACTTGAACCCAAGAATTCTAACAACAGGCACTATGTTCTTACTAACTTCCTACATGACTTCATGGCAGGCCTGAAAGACGGAAGCTCAATCTATTCAAGATAATTTTCCACTCTATGACACTGATTTTTTTTTTAAGGTGCTCAGTGTTTAGATTTAAATATATTGGAAGAAAATGTTAAGTGCCTGGAAATGAATTTATCAAGAAATGTCTAAGATCCATATGATGACATCAGTGTTGGTGATGGCCACCCCATGACAGATAACGGAAAAGAAGAACAGCATGCTCCCACATGCAAAGTCAACGTGCTGAACAGGGCGCCCACCTCAATTGAACATGCTCTTGTAATGCAATGCCAATCAAAATTCCAATGAGTTTCTGGGAGGAAAGCAAATGCTTAGATAAGCAATTGGAAATATCATCCAAAAGATTAAAATTGCAGGAGTAGCCAAAAGGTTTTAAAAAACAAATAGGAAGATATTTTCCCTACCATACTGCAGCACATCTCAGTAGACCTAGTAATTAAAGCAGTCTGGGAGATGAGGAAGTAGCTCTGTGGCAGAACTCTAGCCTAGTGTGTACAAGGCCCTGTGTTTGGTCCCCAGCTCCATACACATGCACGCGCACACGCACACACACACATGCACACACACACAGAGGCAGCCTGGTAGTACTGAAAGAATAGATAAATAAAATTATGAATCTTAAAAACGAAACATATATATTTGGAAATTTATGTTGAGTTCAAATGAGTAACAAAGAGATACACTGTTTAATAAATGGTGTTGAAGTAAATGAACACTCATTTATTTAAAAAACATCTTATCCCTTGCCTTTGATTACACATAAAAATAAATTCCAACCAGATTAAAGATTTAAACAAAAACAAAACCATGAAAGTACTGAAAGAAAGGTTAAGAACTATTTGTATAATCTCGAAGGAGTTTCTTCTAAGATAACAGGAAACTCAGAAGCCCTTAAGGGAAAGACGGAAAGATACAACTACACACAAATTTAAAACTTGTGCATGGCAAAGAACTGTGTTTTTAAAAAATCAAAAAGCAAAGAACAAACTGGTAACCATGTTCACAAATTCTACAACAAAATTAAAATTAACGTACTTAACATATAAAGAGATCTTATAAATAAATGAATCCATCATCCTATTGCATTCTTGGTAAGCAAGTTAAAATGTAAACATTTTATTTTTGCAATTTCATTTCCAGAAGCATATCCAGAGAGTATCTAATATATATGTATATATACATTTATATGTGTACATACATATAATTTTTTTTCTTAAATCTCCAAAGGTTTTTTATTTCAGTAGTCTGTGCAATAAGAAAAAAAGTGGGAAAAACCCTGAAGTGTGCATTAATGAAGGATTAATTAAATTATGGCACACTGGTGCAATAGTATTCTACGCAGCTATTGGAAAGGTGGGCTATGGGTATTGACAGGACAAAGTGTTATATCTTGTTTTATCTATTATTCTCTCGTTTGTATTGAGAATTTTAATAATGAGCCAGAAACCTCTCATCTGATCCAATCACTGCTGATCAGTTAACAGAAAAGGAGGTTAAAACAGGGCCTGGAGTTTTTGCCTCGGCAGAGATCCTTCCACCCATGCCTCCCATGGTGGTCAGGATTGCAGATGGGCACCACCATGCCCACCTCACCAATTAACATGGGGTTTTACTATGTTTTTGCCTGGGCTAACCTCGAACTATATCCTGATTTCTGCTTCATTTATGTTTAAAATATATATTATATATGAATATATATATATATACATATTCATTTTCCAGTCCTTTGATATAGAACCAGGGCTTTAATTATGGGTTCTCCTGACCATTCTGATTAAAGCATAGACCTAAAATATTATTTAAGATTTTTGGTTTTAGTTTCTTTAAGTGGAATGGGACTTAAAAAGCAATTCGGGCATACACTCTCAATTTATATTTTCCCCAGTCTTTTACAATTGTCTTGCCCACATACAATTGCATGCATCTAACCCTTAGCAAATATCTTAAAAAGCATTATATTTAGCTTTTATAGGAAAAATTTTTTCACATTAATAATTATTAGCACACAATGACTTTTATAACTGTGTTGATCTTTTTCTTTTCAGAACTTTAAAATAAAAAATAGCACATGAAAACCAATGTCTTATTCCACCTCACATAGGCCACAAGAATGTCACCATCTTATTCCTCTGAATAGCACTGTCACAACTCATTACCTTCCAAGTTCAAGTTTCTGCTGCCTCAAAACACAGCCAGTAGTCAGACCCTGTTGCTAGTCACAGAGACTGCTACCTATGCCCTGCATCTCTTCTCTGCTTAGGAGAGCTACATTTGAAACTGTTGTTGCTAAAGCTCCCTAAACAGACTTGTGACCATCAGGGATCTTTAAACTACCACCTAAATTTGGCCAGCTACCTGGTTTTGGTATGGCCTTAAAAAAAAAAAACCTGTGCATTTCTAAATATCTGGAAAAAATGTGAAGTTCTTTTGGTTTGTAAAAACTGTATGAAATTCAAATTTTATTCTCTATAAATAAAGTTTTGTTGGTACACTGCCCCATCCTTAGTCTATACAGTATCCATGCTTAGTACTAGCAGGACATAGTTGAGTGGTCCCAACAGAAAAACACATTGCCTGCAAGTCTACAACATTTACTCTCTGGCCTTCACAGAAAAAATTAGCTGACCCGTTCCATCTCATTCCTATGGCTCACAGGACGTGGTAAATTGGCACTGGCATCTACAGAACCTGGCAAAATGATAAGCAGGGAAAATCATGTCTTTACTCTCTCTCAGACGCTAGTTTAGATTTCCACTTACTTCTGCCACACGTTCTTGACTCTGAGACATACCTAGAACCCCAGCCTCTGGGACAGCTTTTACACAGACAACATCAAAAATGCCCCAAAAAGTGTGGCATCAAAATGATTAACGTCTGCCCTTTGCTGCTTTTGTAGTCACTGGTGTTCTACCAACACTACACTTCGAGGGCCTAGGTATCACTGCCCTGTGGGTAGAGTCTACAGGTACTGCTTGCCGTGCTCTTTTAACTCTTCTGCCCACCACAGGACTGTTCCTCAGAGCAGTCGCTCAGGTACCTACCTCGGTAGAACCTGTGAATGCAATCTTGTCTATGCCAATGTGGGATGCTATAGCTGCCCCAGCCGTTGGCCCATATCCTGGCAGAATGTTGATGACTCCAGGTGGGAAGCCAGCCTAAGGAAACAGAATTGGAGAAAACATGTCTCAGACCCATCACATAAGCAAGCATATGCTTTACAGGCTCCAACAGTAGGGTGATGGGAACCACTGCTGAGTCTGTTTCCCCTACCTCCTTGATGAGGGCTCCCATGTAGAGCGCGCTGAGTGGTGTCTGCTCTGCCGGCTTAATAACCACTGTGTTACCACAGCACAGAGCTGGGGCAATTTTCCAGGCAAACATCAGCAGGGGGAAGTTCCACTGAAAAAGGAAAAAGCAAGGCTGATAGATGGGAAAATATTCCTCCACTACTGTGTTTTCAAGCTGTGACTTCTCAGATTTCTCAAACCGCATAATCCTTGTCTATCACAAAGTGGACATGTTTGGATTTTTAATTACTTCATTAAGAATACAATAGTACTGACCTTAAAAATCTCTCCTTTTCTCTCTGTTCAACAAATTGCTATCTATTCCAACTATCCGCCAAAAGAAATCCCATGATGAAAAGGGAGTTTTTGGGTTTCCTTTGTTTTGCTTTAGTTTTTCTTTGTTGTTTTACATATTTCTTTTTTTCTTTTTTTGACAGTACTGGGGTTTGAACTGGGGTCCTCACACTTGGTAGGCAAGTGCTCTACCCACTTGGGCCAAGTCCCCTGGTTCATGTATTTCTAAAATCAGGCTTTGGTTTCAATGAGTTCTTGTATGTGAACACTTTGTCTTGAATTTGGGATTGTTTACATCAAGATTTTCACATTGGTGTGAAAGCTGTTCAGTGTGGAAGAAGCAGAAATATAATTTACTAGCTATAACTTACACTTAAGTCAATGTATAGCACTTAAGGTGGCACTTTTCCTTACACATGTTGTCATAAACCATGACTCCCAGAAATAAAATGCATCACCAACGAGTATGCGTTTTCCACCTTTCTACTTTCCACTGCAAAATCAGCAAATGAAAACCAAACTACACTTACATGAGTGTATGAATTCAGGACCTAAAATGGTTTAAACTGATTCAAGTAGGTTATTAAGCTAGTGTTGTCAGGGCTCAGACATGAGACTTATTACTATCAGGTGTCACTGATCATTTCATTAAGGAAGGACACAGCATTCCTGGTCCCCTGGCTGCAGCCCCTGAACACAGTGTGTTTCTGCAAGAAGCACCTCCACTGCCATCCTTGAAGGATTCCCACTGGCTCTGGCAAGCCTGCAAAAATATACAAGTGTCTTGTCTTCACCAAACACCCAATTTCTTTTCCCTGTAGTTGTTTATAAACTTGGGAGTCCTCAGTGATGTTTTAATTCCATCTACAGTGTATAAATCTTGGCGTGCAGTAATTGAGCCGAGCTGGCTGACAAGAGCTCTTGCCCTGTCAGGCAGCTGCGACTTTGAGGGTCTGGGGGAAGAGCGAGAGGGGTAGGTTTGAGTCCTGCAGTAAAGGTGACAGCCCCACTCCTGAGCTGATCCAAGAGGATTTCCCTGGAGGTTAAGAGCAGAAGAACTTCAGCCAAATCTCTCATTTTCCCTTTGCATTCTCTAATACATTTCATAGTACTGATGAGCTCATTGATCACTTGAACAAATATTAGTAACTCCCAAAAATCTTTGACTCCAAAAACCGAAGTTTAATTTGAGCCTCCCCTTGAAATCCCTTCAGCACCATTAATTAGTACCGTTAGAAGATTTAGCGATGGTTTGTATTGTGCCAAGGTGTGTGTGTGTGTGTGTGTGTGTGTGTGTGTGTGTGTGTGTGTGTGTGTGTGTATGTGTGTGTGAGACAGAGAAAGAGAGAGAGAGAGAGAGTGTGCAAAGGATAATGTTTAATGTTCCAATCCAAATCTAAACATGAGGCACTACATCCATTTCACTCTACAAGGCAAACAGTCTGACGTGGTTTCAATTATGTCTGTGACATTAATTGTACTGCTGTGTCTTCTGTAGCATCTTCTATATAGATTCTTGTGAAAAGAAACAGTGAGAAAGAATGGGTTTAAAAGACCATATAAAATAATATGCCTGGAAAGATGGTGAGTCACAGTCCTAAAAAATAAACAAGCAAATAAAACAAAGCATTAATTTTCCAAAAGCAGAATGGACATCCATAACCAAGGGTGGGTTATTAATACACAGTGCTTTGCTTTGCTTATTTGAATCATGAGAATTCTATGACTTGAGAACTCAACTCCTGGTAACAGAGCTGAAACCCTATTAACCTGTTCAAATAAGCATTTGCAGGGAGGCTGTTAAAGATATGTCAACAACATGAGCTCCGTTTTTTTTCTCCCCAGTAATGGAAAACACACATCGCTGAGGACCATGTTTTATGTGTCTTTAAGAGAACTGAGTCAAATGAAAATAAATACGAGGTGCAAGGAGATACACTCACTGGGATGATCTGTCCACACACTCCAATAGGTTCGTGTCTTGTAAAGGTAAAATAGTCTCCATCTGAAAGAAGCAAGCATGGTCACTCCCAGGAAGTTTAGATTAGAAGAAAAATGCACAGGGAGAACTTTAGTGGCCACAAAAAGCAGAAATGAAGCTGAAATACATCTTACTGGACCATGTTAGAAAGCTGGTAGAAGAGCTCTCACATGGCCTAGGTCACCTCCAATATCATCCCACATAGCCAGAGTACTGGTGAGGGGATGTCTAAGGCAGATGAAAGACAAACTTATGACAGCAGAAAAAGTCTTGGGGGATAAGCTGTGAAAACTGTAAAATATTAAAAATGAAATTTTATATTCTATATTAAAATAACATCTGGGACAGTTTTTGACTTAAAAACTGAGCTACCTCAAACTTTTACATAACTTTCTAAGTATTAAAAAGGGTAAAGAAAATGCTACTGAGCAAATTTTAAATGCTGGGCAACTGGAAAATATGAGGAAAAAATTAGGATATATTCCATAACTCAATCCAGCTGTCAAAATGCACTTCCTGGGTACTAGTGGAGCACAGGCAGGTCCAGGACTATTTAAAGAAGGCAAAAGTCCACTTCAAAGAACTTCATCAAGAGCCCAAAGCCTCCACCCTCAAGCTGACATAGAAGTGAGGACCCATCCTTGTATCCCTAGAAGCTAAAAGGAAAAACCTTGAGAGAAATTTATTAGCCTTGCTTCTCTTATAGGAAAAGGCAACTGGTCAGGAAGTCCAGACCAAATTCTTCATTAGAAAAATGTCATTGCTTTTATCTGAATCATTTTCCAAAGCTAGCTGAACTCATCAAAGAATGAGTCATTTCCATTTCCAGAACTTAGCAGTCTTGGTTTTTCCCTATTGCTAGCCCTTTGGCCACTGCACTAGAGTTGTTTTCCTTCTCAAAAGCAGTCCCCGCGGGAATGTGAAGACACCCAGTTAATAACTCAGCAAAGTGTATCTGTTAGGGTTAGGAATGAAGGCAGGGACAGGAGTGTGTGGGGTGGGGAAAGAGGAATGATGTGAATTATATTGTTTATCGTCTCTCAACACATCTTAATCGCTAATATTTATCACCCAGAATTGTTTAAAATGAATTCAAAACTATACATTTTTAAGTTATTCAATTAAGGTGCTTCCTCCCTCCCTCCCTCTCTTTTGTGAACCTTGGGTCCCTAGTTCGTCTTCCCACAGTTAACTGCTATCTTTATTGGTGCATCTTTTCAAAGAACTTTAAGTCACATACATCCTTTTAACACCTTTCTCTTTTCTTTTTCTAAATACAAATGACACCATGTTATCCAGACTTTTATATTTCATCCCCACCTTTCTCATATAAAGCAAGCACTTCTTTTTAATGGCTTCATGATATTTCATTGACTCAATAAATAATAGAATTACTGTGAAATCTCCTGAGAGACATCAGGTTGCTTTTAGTTTAACCTATTATAAATAATGCTGCAAATGCTATCATTTTATGCATCTTTATGTATCTGTGGAATTTCTTGGTAAAAGTGTATACACATTTCACATTTTCCATTAATATTTTGTCAAATCTCCCTTCAGAAGTTAAACAATTCATAATTCTAGTAACATGCTATATTTTCTACTTTTTAATACAGGACTTCTTTCCAAACATTTTAATTTTAGCCAATCTGACACCTGGAAATGGCAACTTGTGGTACGTGTTTAATATGTGATGGTGAACACCTTTCATGTTTACCAGCCATTTTCAGTTTTCAGGTTTGTATCATTTGGCATTTTTCTATTGTGTTTTGCATCTTTTTTGGCCATTTAAAGACCTCTATGGGTATTAAGGAAATTAGATCTCTGCTCTTTGTCTCTTGACTTTGATTTATGAATATTATTTTAAAAGGAAGAACTGAAGAAGAAGGAAGGATCAATGACTTTAGGAAATTACTTTAGAATATATTCCCACTAAAACAAAAAGTAGCCAGGATGTGGAATTAGCCATGGGATGGCAATAAGAGGTCTGAGCAATATTTTTAAAGTAAATTGTTAGTTCTGTATGTAGACAATTTAGGAACCTTCCCAATAGCTACCTCTGTTACAATAGTGCCACTTACTGCCTTCCTTCAATTTATCCAACTTTAGAAAGGGTTTTCATGAGTAGCAACAACAATGATCAAAAGGCTATGATGATTCATTGGCAAGGAACTCTCCCCCAACTAAACTCCATACTTCAGTAAAGTGATGGATGCTGGTGGATCAACACAAAGATTAGAGTGCGTTGTTGAGATGGGGTGCAAATGGAATGAGGACAAAATGGGAAAGATGAACCTGTAGGAAACTGGAGTGGTTCAGAGGAAAAGGTACAAGGCACATGCATAAGCATGAGATGACTGTTCATAAAAAATCCTAAATGCTGAAAAATTGAGTTTATTACTTATATCATGTTGAAAACAATGCAGACAAAATCTTAAAAAGCCAGCTTGATTCCCTAAGTGGGTCCCAAGAAAAACTGAATTATGGGGAATAAATCTTCCTTAGATAATCAGTTCTCAGATTTGACAAGCATTCAGCTAAAGACTGACACAGAAAAGGATTGACTCTTCCAGTCTCTACAGTTCCTCTAAGTAGTAAATAAAGAAATAAAAAGCATTTTGATGTTTGATCTCTTCCCGAGAGCATGCAGTAGAAGGAATAAAGGATGGGCCCTGGCCTTGTGAGCTCAGTCTGTGTTCCCATCTGGATGGTAAGAGATGACACCTCTTGTCCACAGTCATACCAGCGTGAATATGCTCCATCTGATTTTGGAAGCTAAGTAGGGTTGGGCCTAGTTAGCACTCGAATGGGAGCTGACACCCCTTGTCTGACTTTGGGTGCCTGGCAAAACACAAGAGCTGTGCCTTCTATAGGCCCCTCAGCCTAGCTGAGGCAACGAGCGCTCCTTCACAGTCACTGTGACCCTGCTCTGAATTCTGCCAAACTTCTAGACAAGGGTCATCCTGAGGCTGGTCCCTCAAGGACCACCTTCATATCTTTGCCAAATCTAAGTCCCACATGCTCTGGCACTTGCATAGTAATTTCTGTTAAATCAACACACCTTTCATATAGCTATTTATTAACCTCACCCTGACGAAAGCCTATGAAATAACATGTTTCAGGGGCTAGCAATATTTTCTTCCTACATTCTTCAAACCTAATAATAATGAAAGTTAAAAATGTTCACTAGGTTACCAGAGCCATCTGGCATGCTTCCAGTGCTATATGGATGCTATATAGCACCTCTTCAAACTTACATGTGCACACAAAGTGCCTAGAGATCTTCTAAATGTAGACTCCGAATCCACAGGTCTAGGTGAGGCTAACTTCCAATTCAGATCCCACTAACTTCCCCAGGTTAGTAGGATCAAACAGCTACTCGCTCTTGTTCTGATTTAGCAAGAGTTCAGATCTCACCCTAAGCTTTGCTGTTGAGAGCACAAAACCAGTCTGAGCTGCCCAAAGGTGAAACCTTAAGATCCAAGTCAGTATGTGTGCACATTTTGAACCTATTCTTCAACTTTAACAGGAAAAGATGGAAAAAGGCAAAACATAAATGATCACATATGACCTTGGTAGTTTTTAACCTTTTATATATGCTAATGTATCAGAAGGCCATTTTTATGTCAGAATTCAGCTTAAAGTATGGACTACATTTTCTCCACATACCATAAAATCAATATAATTAACACTCATTGCAGAGAACAATTTAAGGTAATACAAGTCCATTAGCTTCCATTTCTCCCTCAGTAAACTGAAAACAAGCTTTGATTCTTCCTCTTCTTCTACAAGGAGGTTGTATATAGGAGTTGAGAATTCTGATAAAGGTTAAAAATAATCAAAATGGGAAAATAATACTTCTCCTCAGTGCTGCTATGAGAGCAGACATAGTAAATGAACACATAGAAAATGTTCCATAAATCAGAGTAATGATTAGTATTTATCATCACAACTGGTAGTTGTCATTGTACAAGGGTCAAAGCATGGGATTTATGGTCAGAGAGAATGGCTCCATTGGGTACTATGGTAAGAAATAATGGCTAGTGTTGAAAAGGGAATAACATCAAGACCCTCGTGAATCCAACTGATACTGTATAATTCTACAACAGCACCTACCATTGGCCTTAGGAGGGACAGAATGGAAAGCAGTGGAAGAACCTCCTAGTTCAGAGGAGGAAACCCATCTCTGGTGAATGCCTCAAAAATCATCATTCTTTCTCATCTTCCTAAAGACTTCTAATGGGAGCCTGCCCTCCAAGGGGACAAAGTAGAAACTTATTCTACCCAAGTGAGCACCCATCTGTAGTCAAACTGCTCTCTCTCAATGCATTTTGATCAAAGCAACTCACCTTTTAAAGTAATTTGGTGTCTCCCCACTGCCTATGGAGTAAAAGGCTCACTTAGGCCCAGAGGCCTTCTCTTCCACACCTGACTATACCCTCAAAACCAGCAGCACAGTATGCACGCTCCATGCTCTTTACCTGTTACTGCCGCCTGTGATGCCCTAGCTCCATCTTCACTTACTTGCCCTCTCTTACTTCTCTTACTTGTTTCCAGAAAGCCTTACTACTAGATGAGATGTCCCCATGACGTCGCATTGAATTTCATGTTGCATATCATAGGCCACACAGAATTTCAATTGCTTGTCTACTTGTTTGTTTTTCTTACTACTGTAAGCATCTTATTCACCTTTGTATCCCAGGGCCTAGCATAGGACCTGAAATATAGCAGGTGCTCAAAAAAATCTGCTGAATGAATGAATGTATGAACAAATGAGTGAATGAATGAGAGGTTAAAGCTGATACTAATCGAGGAGGTGAAGGAAGCACTCTTCCCGTTACATGGCACATGACATGGGAAGGAGTGGAAGAGATAATAACACAATTCTTCTCACTCTCTCTGGTTCTTATCCTTTAGCATCAGAGATGTTAAACTAGATAAACCCACAGAGTAAGATTCCATATACTAAAGCAAAGTAGTCTTAGATTTTAAAATTTAAAAAATTTCAGGTTATTTTTTATGGATGACCAGACAGAATTATACACTTTTCATCCTCCATACTCACTAAGAAAGCCTCTTTCACCCATATAATATAGGCAGGAAGACCCACAAACTTAAATGTTCCAGAATAGTCGAGATTCATAAATGCTACCTTGAGAGAACTAGGCTCGAGATATAGTTGGTCTTCATTAACTGTGGATTCTGTATTTGAGAACTTGCCTACTTAGTAAAATTTATTTGCAATCCAAATCTCAGTAACTGTAGCACTTTCAGTCATTTGCAAGCATATACATGCAAAATAGGAAAAAATAAATGGGTGGCTGAAGGCACACATTAAACAAGGTGACCTGACCCTCTGAATTCCTACTTCAGGTTTCACACCGTAAAACAGTATCTTTTTTGTAATCTATTTAATGCCACGGATATGCTGCTCACAATTTTGCTGACCTGTCTCATAAGCATAGTACTGACATGCTGTCTAATGTTCCTAAGTGAAAGAAGGTAGTGACATGCTTCAAGGAGAAAATATTTGTGCTAGACCACCTTTGTTCAGGCATGAGTTTTAGTGCTGTTGGCTGGCTGGCCATGAATTCAATATTTATAAATCAACAATATATATTAAACAAAGGGTCTTTCAACAGAGACACACATAAAACAAGGTAGGATTCTGAGTGGATAACAAAAATATTCTGACTAGAAGCTTATAGGAACCTAACACTGTATTTCCTCTAGAAGCAATATTTCAGTATTCGCTAATTTGGTGTCCATGGCAACTTTGTAGAATGTTAACTTCCATGAATAACGAGAATCAAATATATAATAATCTGAAAATCTGCAGAGGGGGGATAAAGCCCTTATCAGGGTAAGCAGCCTCTTCACCCCCTACCCTGCTGAACTGGTTTCTATAAGAAGGTTTACAGTGGATTAGGCAGAAAGAGACTTGGGTTTGAATTTACCCACATGCCCTTGTTTAAGACACTAAGCCCCTAGTATCTCATTTTCTTACCTATAAAATGGGCATACTATCTCTTTAAATCCAGCCTGCCTCTCAGGATCACACACAGAATTACCAGCCCCTGTACGTGAACGAGCAGTTTACACTCTCAAATGCTGGGGAACTACAAGCACATTATGGATTTATGTTGTAATTCTAAACAAAACAATCAGGATGTTTTGCAGAGAAATGCTAGTACACAATAAAGATGCCATGGAAAGGCTAACGGCCATCCTATAGTCAGACATCACTGTGGGAAAAAGCTGAGTATGCAAAGACAAAATCAGACACATGCTAAATTATGGTCTTACAAATAACAAACACAAATGAGCTGTACAAATCTGAGAATAAATATGGAAATAATTATGGCCTCCCTTAGGTGACCTTTCCCCAGGACCCTACTAGCGTACTCCAGGTACTCAATAAGCAAGTGGCTTCTCGTGTCTCTTTAGTCTGTCCCTTTCATGTAATATTTCTTCTACCCAGAAACTAAAATGAATCCTCCTGTGAAGTGATTAAGAATGGAAGCTCTTATGTCAAAATTTTAGCTCTAACATGTATTACATTTATGAATTAGGAAAACTATTTAACTTCTTCAGTCCTCAGTTTCTTCCTCCATAAACCGAGGGTGTAATAATAGAGCACTGCTTTCACAGCACTCTTGGGGTGGCTGTGAAAGCAGCCAACTCCTTCAGTCTCAGATACTCTCCCCTTGCCTTTGAGGGCCTCAGTTCTGGCACAACTTAGCATCTAACTGGAATTCTCTGGTAGAGACCCTTCACTGTTTTGCGGTTGTCGGTTTTATCTTCTGACCTGGTTGTTAAAAATATATAAAGAAAAAAGTCAGGATTATGGTCTTTACAGATTATGCAAGTAATTCATAGTTGGTATAGGAAATATAAAAATAGAAAATACTAAAAAGAAGTAAAAATTTATCCAGAATCTCAACACTCAAAGACAACAACCATTAACATTTTGGAGTATTTCCGTCCAAAAAGGAAGATGTTATGTTTCAGGAGGATAAGGACTAAAGTCTTAATGTTCTTGGAATTTTCCCTGACTTCTCCCTTGCCCAACACTCTTCCATGCCCCCAGCACCTAACCTAGCACTTATCAGCTAACACATGTATACTTATTCCTGATTTAAGTTGCTTGTCACTGCCCTTTTATGTAGACTATCTATATAAAGAAATGGGGGCATCGTCTGGGTTAGTGACAATTTGGCTCTATTCTCTGTTCGAGCTGCTAAAAGTGTCTTAAACCTGCATCGTATGTGGCTGCTGTTTGTGTTCAATGGTGAAAGTGTGTTTCTGGTGGAATCTCACTTTCCCTTTTGATATACTCAGGTCATACATACCTACAGGAATGGTCATTCCATGAATTTTATCAGCCCAACCTGCATAATACCGAAGGGTTTTGATGACGCCCTGCAAATCCACATAAAAAGCTTGCAGGAATGGCTTGCCACCATTTAGGGATTCCATCGTCTGTAGGAAAAGAAATGGAGAGGAATTAAGTCCCTAGAACTTTCCAGGGATGCACTAAATAGTTTCTGGAGCAAAAGAAAAGAGGAAGAGAGACAAAGCAAATGAATGTGAATGATAATTTTCAACTCTGATATCCCAAAGAGATTTCTATATTGTGAGTTTCATTTAGTTTCTAGTGAAAATCACAATGCGTCTATATGTGCATGTTCTTGTGACTTTGTACTTTCACTGTCTAAATACACAAACACAACCCTTCTTTAACTGATAATAAAGAAATGTTCTGCTTGTCAAACCACCTTCTGTTATATTAATAACCAGAGATGAATAGGGAGTTTTTGGAATCTACCTTAGTAATCTGAATCCATAAAGAGAAATGGGGACATGGGCTTTTTAATGCAATTGATGAGAATATAAAATGTTCTCCACGGCTGCCAAGACCCCTGCTGAGAAGAGGAATATTCACAGTGCACAGCAACTTTATTTATTACCACCAAATAAACAAGATCTCCTCTAGGGAAACCCAGACTTTAACAACTTAGAGGCTGGGTTTTTTTTTTTTTTCTTTGTAAACATTTATGTTAACAACCATTATCTATTAAGAGTAAAGTATCTGGTCCATTTAATAAAAGATAACAATATTAAACAGCTTTACATTATAAACATTATTTTAATGACATGCTCCTAAATTGATTAACTCCAGAATGAAAACAATAACAAATGAACACAATGAAATCAGAGTATTTTGACTTGAGATCTGTTAAAGGTATTATAAGATTAACAAGTGAAATAAACAAAAGTTTATGCTTGCAACTTCAGTTTTTCTCTATAGGGACATTTTATTAACACAGATTGTTAATAAAATTAACAGTATTACACAATGCTTTACTGACAAAGCTAAAATTGAAACATTTTCCATTCAATGAGATATAAATACTGTTATTTACAGTGTGATTTATCTACTTACTATATGTATAAGATGAAACTCATTTTAAAATGTTACTTAATGTTGTGCACTAACTCATCTTTATAAGAGGAAATCAAATTATTTCCCAGTGCTTTATGTGATCATAAGATGGTCATTACATTATCCATGTAGCTAATATAGAGTTAGGTTTTACACAGCATAGAGTAAAGTCAAGTCAATAACCAAGTCATTGGAGAAGATGTTCATAAATCTACATGGTTTCACTCTCCAAAAAGTCTATACTCTCTTAAGAATTAGCTTTTATTTTATAAACAAACAGCATCAGCAACAATGACAAATCCCTCTAGGACAGAAGCTTCTGTGAGAATAATGACTGTTCTAGTGAAAACAAGTTTCCGTCTCTCTAGGACAAACACAGCAGAATGTGTGAGTTCTCATCTCTTTGCTTCTAAAGTCAAGGTAACCAGGGTTACCTCTGGGCAGGTAAAAACTAGTGCTATTTGACTGTCAAATGAGTCACTTGGTATTGCTCTTCTGCAAACAGCCTGGTGACTCTCCTGTTGCTTGATGGATTCTACTTTGTCAGTCAAATAAGTGGGAGGAGCTGTGAGAAGGGCAGAGCCTCATAGTCATGCAGTGCTATGAATTTTCTTTAAATGCAGCGCTATGGCTTTTTCTTTAAAATGAGACGGGATACTCAGCTGATCTTCCACTTCCCTATCTGATGCCCAAATCCAAGCATCTCTCATTTCCCATGTGGATTGTGCATTCCTGTGCCCCAGGTCTGCTTCCCAGCACGCTTTCAGAAACACTGGAGAACCCAAATTCCAGTGGAATGGTAAAACTTCTGCAGTAAAACTTGCTGTTTTCTGAGGTTACTTACCGCAAGAAGTGCCCTGTCTCGTTCCACCAAATCTGCGAGCTTGTCCAAAAGACGGCCTCTTTCTGAAGCATCCATCCTTCTCCACACTGAGCCAAGAGAGAAGGCCAGGCGGGCTGCCTGCACTGCTTTGTCTATATCTGCCTGTTAAGAGAGAAGACACAATCAAAAGGAGAGATGCAATCCAAAGAAAGGAAGTACCATCTGCTCTTGTGGAAAAAGCGATACTTGAACATCACCGTTCTGCTGTTTGACAGTGGTTATTTCAAAGGGAATATTTTTCTTAGAAAGACGTACCTTGTCTGCTTCTTGAACTTCACACACCTGCTCTCCTGTGGCCGGATTATAGACAGGGAACACTCTCCCACTTTCTGAGTTCTGCCACTCGTTGTTAATAAAGATCTAAGGGAGGAGACAACAGAATAGTATCTGTGACATGGCTGATCAGAAGCCAGTCAATGTTCAATCAGAACAGAAACACTTGGTAATACTACTAATTCTGTCCACTTGTTAGTGTTAATAAAATAGAGAATTTAAACAGCCTCATCCCCAAGTCATAAATTTCCTCCATGGTATTTTTGCTTCCATGGCATCCAAAGACTAAATATAGTGCTCTCACTATTAGTGAACACGCCAACCAGTGAGAGTAGTAGTATCAGGTTTAAAGAAGAGGTCTTACCAGTGTTCCTTCTTCTTTTATTCACTATACAACTAAACTAAACTTCTTAATGTTTGAAATAATGTCAAGGTCTGCTGGGCCAAGTTTCTTTGTGAAGCATTTCTAACTATTTGCAAGGATCAATATTTCATGACTTTTACTATTTCTTAGAGGTCTTCCAAAGAAGTATGATACTCATTTTTCCTACTATCACTTCCATCCATTAGTCATTTTTAAGATATAAAATACATTAAAGTATTTAAATGATCTTACATTTCCCAGATAGTGAAATATTTTGCTATCATCCTAGGAATTATTTTGTCATCACTCATCAATTATTTCCAACTGTGTTTAAAAGACTAAAATAATAAGGAAGCAACAAAACTACAGAATTGTTTAGAAACGAATAAAGTCACATTGTTATATCATCCTTCAGTTTTTGAATTATTCAGTCTAATATAATACATAATCTTTCAAGAAGGTGGAAAACAAGTTCAGAGGCATCATCTTTGTCATACTCTTTTTAGTTTTCACCCCACACAGTTAAGGATTCACAATTACTAATTTTTTTGCCTATTAAAACATAGACATTTCCCAATTATTAGATGAGTAAAAAGATGAAGGAAAAGAAACAAACACTTAAGAAATTTTGGTGAGGATGAAATTGACTAAGCAAAATCTTGTTCTATGAGCCTTTAGGATAAATTTTCTCAAATTTTAATCAAAGAATCAGGCTGGGGATGTTGCTAGTGGTAGAGCCTTGCCTAGCATACACAAGGCCCAGGGTTTGATCACCAACACTGAAAAATAAAAGTTTGCCAAGAATCAATAGTATATTCATAAAGATGAAAAGGAAACAGGATAATCTAACCCATTAGTTGTTCAACAGGAAGGATTTCATCATTTTTCAACAAGGACCTGGACCATCATTTTTTAGTAGAAGAGCATGTGATAATTCTTTTATCCTTTATGATATTTGTGGGTAAAAATTTACTTTCTATGACTCCTGTGTGTGTGTGATTTTAAGGACAGACTGAATAAATAAAGATGTTCATTAGGTTGATCAATCTAGTTAATATTTATAAAACTAAAAATGAAAGTATTTTTGTGATTATGAAACAAAAAGGTGGCCATACTCTTTCTGCAGAATTATGAGCTTTCAAACTTTTCAATTGTGAGAATATGCATGCAAGAAGAACCATAAATACTGGTAGTGAACCAGCTAGAGATGTGCTTACAATCTGGAATGTATTTATGACAAAAGTGATGCCCCAGGTTCATGCATGACAGCTGATGAGCACTTGGGTTGCATTCAACAGCATCATCCCTTTCAGTTACATAGACCTCCAAAACAAGAAGGATAAGGAATAAAAAAATTGTTTTGCTACATTTAAATTCTTGTTTTGTTATTTTCCCCATCTCTTTATTCTCGCCTATGTAAGAGAAAAATAATAAGAAAAAAAAACTAAAAGTTTAAAACTTTTTTAAAAACTTAAAAAGAATTCATTGGAACCAGATGGTAAATATTCTTCCCTCATATACAATTCTATTTGTGCATTTTTCTTTGGCCAGGTCTTCTTGGAGAAATGGTTTATTTCAGGGCTGTAGCAGGGATAATATGAGTAGACCTGGAACATTACAGTGCCAGAAATCAACAAATGATCAAACATTGGAGGGGATACAATAAAAGGACACTGGAACCAATATTAAGAGGCTTCCAATGGATAATTCTGGGATCATTTAAACAATACAATAAATAATTCTTTATCCATAGAATGACAAAGGTATCTGAGAGTCAACAGTAGTATAATTTTTAAATAAATAAATAAGTAGGAGGTAAGCAAAAGCTCTTCCCAGTAAGATTCCAAGTAGGAGATGTGGAGGAATAACACCATTTGTCAAACCCCACTGTTACAGGTAAATGGGTGTTAAAATTAGTGGGCAGAGCTTTAATGAAAAACTGGATGTTCATGCAGTCTGAAAGCATTTCTCCTCAAGATTCTTGTTAATTTCAAATGCTCACCATCTCTAGCAATAAAGGAAATGCAAATTAAAACCATGCTAAGATTCCAACTCACCCCTGTTAGAATAGCCATCATCAGCAACACCACCACCAACAGGTGTTGGCGAGGATGCGGGGAAAAAGGAACCCTCTTACACTGTTGGTGGGAATGTAAACTAGTACAACCACTCTGGAAAAAAATTTGGAGGTTACTTAAAAAGCTAGACATTGATCTACCATTTGATCCAGCAATACCACTCTTGGGGATATACCCAAAAAACTGTGACACAGGTTACTCCAGAGGCACCTGCACACCCATGTTTATTGCAGCACTATTCACAATAGCCAAGTTATGGGAACAGCTAAGATGCCCCACCACTGACGAATGGATTAAGAAAATGTGGTATCTATACACAATGGAATTTTATGCAGCCATGAAGTACGAAATGTTATCATTCGCTGATAAATGGATGGAATTGGAGAACATTCTGAGTGAGGTTAGCCTGGCCCAAAAGACCAAAAATCGTATGTTCTCCCTCATATGTGGACATTAGATCAAGGGCAAACACAACAAGGGGATTGGACTATGAGCACATGATAGAAGCGAGAGCACACAAGGGAGGGGTGAGGATAGGTAAGAAACCTAAAAAATGAGCTAGCATTTGTTGCCCTTATCGCAGAGAAACTAAAGCAGATACCTTAAAAGCAACTGAGGCCAATAGGAAAAGGGGACCAGGAACTAGAGAAAAGGTGAGATCAAAAAGAATTAACCTAGAAGGTAACACCCACGCACAGGAAATCAATGTGAGTCAATGCCCTGTATAGCTATCCTTATCTCAACCTGCAATAACCCTTGTTTCTTCCTATTATTGCTTATACTCTCTCTACAACAAAATTAGAGATAAGGGCAAAATAGCTTCTGCTGGGTATTGAGGGGGGAGAGAGGGAGGGGGCGGAGTGGGTGGTAAGGGAGGGGGTGGGGGCAGGGGGGAGAAATGACCCAAGCCTTGTATGCACATATGAATAATAAAAGGAAAAAAAAAGATCCTTGTTAATTTCAAAGGGGAAAAACAGTAACTTCACATTGGAAAAACTTAGCAGATACCCTCTTAATCAAGTGATCAAAGTTGACATGGCCAGCAATGGGACAAATTGACATCATGTGCTCCTGATATGATGTGATGAGAAAGACGTAAGATCACTCTGTGCTGTTCTTACCCAAAATATTTAACCTGGGTTTGATCATGTGGAAACATCAGGCAAAACCAAATTAAAACACATCCTACAAAGTTATCTGTCCGTATTTCTCCAAAGTAGCAAGGTCATGAAAAACAAAAACTTTAAAAAATTGTTCCAAATTGAAGGTCACTAATGAGACATAAAAGTTAAATGTATCACGTAACTATGGATTGACTCCTGGACCAGAAAAATGTATTATTGGGTTTATTGGTAAAGTGCAATTAAGGTCTTTAGGTTATATCCGATCTTCTATCAATGTATTACTGGGATTACTGGTAAAGTTTAATTAAGGTCTTTAGGTCCGATATCGTATCAATGTCAGTTTCCTGATTTTTACTATATTTAGTTATGTAAGAACATTTGGAAAGTCAGATGTGGTGATTCATGCTACTCAAGAGGTGGAGACATAGGATCATGAGTTCAAGATCAGCTGGACAAAGTTTAAAGAGACCCATCTCAAAAACAAAAAATAAAAACCCAAAGGGTTGAATGTATGGCTCAAATGGTACAGGACACAAGTGTGAGGCCCTGGTTTCAATCTGCAATACCATACCACAAGAAACAAAATCTGGGTGAGGATTATATGGGAATCATTTGTATATTTTTTGCTTATTTTGTGAATCTAAATTTTTTCAGAATGAAAAATTTTAAAAAGAGTTCAAAAATTAGTGTTATTTTTGGTGCCTATTTTTCATACTGTAAATGCCCAAAACAAGTTTGCTAAATGAAAGAATAAGTACCCTTTCCTTTTCACAAAAGTTGTTTTAAATATGAATTTGTGGGAAATGAAATAAACAATTCAAGGTCCACCTTAAAATATTGCCCAATGCTGCCCAAAATTATTCATTTTAAAATGGACCTACCATTTCAACTCCAAGAAATGAGAAACTAGAATAAAAATCTGCTTTGCAGTTTGCTGAATTTCAGAGTAGGTATGAAGAAAAATGTGGCCTTTTCTATTGTAGAGCTCTTTGAATGTAAAAAAGCCATCTGACCCTATATCTGACTAGGGCTTAGTTTCTTCTTTGTAAAATATACAAGTATTCACTTATGCCATTATATAATTATGTGGTGCTGTAACTGAAGCAAAAGAAACAGACGGCTCATGGAAAAAGTACCTGTCTACTCCAGGCTTCTAAGAGGATAGGACCAATTAGCCTATAAACCTAACTTTATTTCCATGGTTGTGAAAAACTGTCCTTTGACATTTTATGGGTTGTTGTTGGTATTAAAAGACATAATGGATGTGGTAGGCATGTAGTTACTGCTAACTGCAATGGAATGTCTGCTGAGAGAGAACATGCATCACTGTCTAACATCTCTCCTGATAAGATTAGAAATACAATACCTCTTGCACCAAGATAAAAAAATCTGAAACACACTGAAGAATAAAGACTGTATTTGGACAATGTATTTTTCTTATGCTTTGTATTAACAGATACTAAAGGAACTGCGTACCATAAATGTAAGTTAGGATCCACCATGTTACATACTCCATG